TGGTAATTCCCTCAATTGTTCATCATGCAGTTTTGCCTCCAGACCCCTGAACATTTTGTTGCTCTTTCTATTGTCTCAACATCTTTTTTTGTATCATGGTGACCAGAACTGGACACAGTATTCCAAGTGTAATCTCACCAGTGCAGTATAAAGCGGTACTATCACTTCACATGATCTTGATGCCATCCCTCTGTTGATGCAACTTAGGAGTACATTAGGTTTTTTTTGGCACTTGCAACACACTGTGGGCTCATGCTTAAGTGATAGTCCATTAGGACACCTAGATACCTCTGACAGTACAACGTCGAACCATATATGCATGTATGCATGTATGTATATATATGTAAATTGAGGTTCATGTTGTGTGAGTGCTTTTCATACTATATTGAATTTATGGATTTCACTTGTAACATAAACCACCAGGAATTTATAAAGCAAATATGTACATTTATTAATAAGTAAATTATTAATAGCAGAATCTGCAGATTCCAGGTTTGGTGTATACTGTTCAACAGTCCCTATGTTGACTCTGCTGTGAGTATTGATAGGTTTTCCCCCAGGAGAGATCAGGAATCACTGGAGCAAATGTTTTCTTTCCTACTTGCTAAGGCCGTGATAAATAGTGGGGTACACAGTCTGATATAGCATTGTGATTTTCTTTGGTTTAGCTGTCTATTCACATGGACATCCCAAAGGTGCTTTTTCAAGAGGCAATTGGATTTTCTTCTTTTACTCTGAAGATGCTTTGCTTCTCATCTAGAAGCTTCTTCAGTTCTGACTGGATGGTAAGGAAGGGATGACCCGGAGGGCACAGATAAACCTCCAAGTGGCCTCAACAACTCTCTAAAAGAATGCAAATCACCAGTTGTCTGTGAGGAATATAAATCCTTCCATTCCCTGCCACCACCCTGCCAGAACCAGTTGAAGTTAAACTTACCCAATTAATGCTTTTCAAACATGTCATTCTGAAGGTCTCTAATAGTTTTAAGATACCATGTTTTTCGGAATATAAGACGCACCGGAGTATAAAACGCACCAAGGTTCTGAAGAGGCAAATTTAAAAAAAGGGTTTTGCACTCTGCAGACCTCCCAAAAACGGCCTATTTTTCACGAAAACTGGCCCATTTTTTTTCCCCCCAAAAAAAGGCATGAATAACCTTTAGGAGGCTTTTAGAGTACTCCTGGAAAGGTGAGGCCCCCCCAAAACGAGCAAAAAATGCCCCATTTTTCACTCATTTCTGCCCTCCCCAGCCCCCAGGAGCACTCTGAAAGCCTCCTAAAGGCTATGCTTGGCCATTTTGGTGAATGAGGCAGGGTTTCGGGAGGGGGAAAATGCTGTGTTCAGTGTATAAGAGGCACCCAGATTTTCAGCCTCTTTTTTGAGGGAAAAAGGTGTGTCTTATATTCCAAAAAATACGGTAGTTAAAAGGTAATTTCTGAAAATATTTTGAAAATAAGATTTCTGAACTTAGGTGTCCTTTAAAAGGCTACACCATGGTTGTGAGCAAGATGGCTGATTTCTTTATCTCCTTTCTATGGAGATTCTCGGTCATTGAGATCATGTTTGTCCCAAAAGTGCTTTTTCAAGAGGCAACAGGACTTTCTGGACCAGCTGTCTGCAAGGCGTATAAATCCTTCCATTCACCACCACCCTGCCGGAGCTGAAGAAGTTTCTTGGATGAGAAGCGAAACGTCTTCAAAGCAAAACCAGAAAGTCCAGTTGCCTCTTCAAAAAGCACCTTTAGGACAACCATGTCCTGGATGACCGAGAAACTCCATATATACTTGTATGGACAAGAACGTCCGGATTAGGGCAGAACCCAGTTGCACTTCCTCAACATTTGTTTTTCAACATTTTACTTTATTAAATTCAAATTGAGAAAGATTGCAGAAAAAAAATAAAGGTTCAGACTTTATTTAGCTTGCTCAGGGTAATGTGTCCTCGTTCTGCTGTACAGTTACTTTATTGGGTGGAATTTGGAAGGGCTGCATCAGTGGTGGGATTCAAATAATTTAACAACCGCTTCTCCCAGGGTCAGGTTGGCTGTCGTGGGAGGTGTGGCCCATCCCCGTCCTCCAATTCAGCTGCACATGTGGGATGAGCCTCCCACGATGACCCTGGGCGAGCAGGTTGTTAAATTACCCACCCACCCCGCTATCAAAGTGGATCCTGGGTGCTGCACTGCAATGGAGAAACAGACAATGGAGCGCCCAGCGCGAGTGGAACAGGAAGAGCAGGGAGAAGAAAGAGGAAAGCGGCCTTCTCCTTCCCTTGCGCCGGACACTCTGTTGCCCATTCTCCATTGCAGCGCCAGGATCCACTTTGATAGGGGTGTGGGTGTGTGTTTAATTAACAACTGGTTCACTTGAACAGGTATGAACTAGCTGAATCCCACCACTGAGCTGCATGACTTGTACAGATGCCTTAGGTACATATTTCTTTCTTTCTTTATTTTCTTCTGTTCAATTCAGTGGTGGGTTTCAAAAAATTTTGGAACCTACTCTGTGGGTGTGGCCTCCTTTGTGGGAGTGGCTTGCTGGCCATGTGACCTGGTGGGAGTGGCTTGCCGGCCATGTGTTCTCTCTCTCTCTCTCTCTCTCTCTCTCTCCTTCCTTTTGTCTCTCTGTCCCTTTTTTCTTTTTTTCTTTCATCTCTCTCTCACTATTTTTCTTTCTTTTTTCTTTTTTCTTTCTTTCTTCCTTTCTTTCTCTTTCTCTCTCTCTGTGTGTCTGTCTGTCTGTCTGTCTGTCTCTCTGTGTGTGGCAGTGGTGGGTTTGAATTTTTTTTGGAACCTCTTCTGTAGGTGTGGCCTGCTTTCCGGGTCCACTGGAGGAACCTCTTCTAACCGGTTCGGTAGATTTGACGAACCGGTTCTACCGAATAGGTGCGAACTGGTAGGAACCCACCTCTGGTTCAATTGTATCCAATTTTCAGAAACTGCCCAGATACGTTCCTGCCATTTTTCTGGTAGGAAAACTCCTAACCAGAAGTCAGGCTGCTAGGTATCTTTCATTTACCTTGTGATTAAGGGATCTCACCTCAATCAGACTGTATACTTAACTAAATAAAAATGGAGCAGAGCAAACACAGACGGTCCATTTCTGTTGCACATCCAAAAGTACTCTATTGCTGAAATAGATTTCTTTATTTCTGAAACTTTCTAGATCAGCAGAATGCAAGTTGTAGTCAAGTATTCAAATCGTCCTCTTTAAGTAAGAAAGCATTTATTAGTGCAATTCAATGTTTTGCCAAAGTTTTATCAAAAATGTAATATTTCCATGAAAACATATTCATTTCCATCATATACAATTGTTAATAAAACACCGCAAGTGTATTCTTTGTAATAAAGTATTGAAATCTGACTATATAAGTAAGAGATCACTGCAACTTTTTAGTGCAGTGCAATTTACACATTTCGTTAGAAATAGAACATTGTGGTAATAATAAATTAACAAGGAGGTGAGGGAACAAACTCATGGCAACTTAAATTAAAACTTGTTAAGTGCATACTGTTATATCATACATTCACTATCATACTTCCCATCCATTCAGTCTTCATCTAAATCCAACCTCTGCTTTCTGTACCTTCTTCCCCACTGCTCCCTATCCTTATCCCACGTGATTGACTGCTATCATTTAAATCAGTGTTTCTCAACCTTGGCAACTTGAAGATGTCTGGACTTCAACCTTGGCAACTTGAAGATGTCTGGACTTCAACTCCCAGAATCCCCCAGCCAGCATTCGCTGGCTGGGGAATTCTGGAAGTTGAAGTCCAGATATCTTCAAGTTGCCAAGGTTGAGAAACACTGATTTAAATTACTGTTTTGTCTTGAAGAGTGATTGGAACTTTCATCAACTATTGAACAACTTAGCAGAGATGTATATAAAGTTGGCACAGATAGACCTCATTGGATTTGGGCATACGCTTAATACATATTCTGACCAAATACTGATTATTAAAAGACAAAATATATGTATATATAGAACATTCATGAAAATTCTGACACTCTTTTTCAAGCAAATACAAAAAAGATATCAAGTGCAAAAAATATGCTTTCTTGAAAAGACTATAAAAAAATGAAGTACGTCATAATTTGTAAATCTACAAGGTAAAAAATGCCTAGCTAAAGAGAGCAAAGAAAGCAAGGAACACATTTTTAAAATGAACTCACTTCATTCTGACTAAACATTCAGAAGTCACATTTTGCTTCCCCAGAGGGACACTTCAGGTAATTTGTGCATGTATTTCGAAATGTTAAATAAGAACAATGCAATGCTAACTTCGTAATACAGACAGTCCTTGACTTACGATCACTTGTTTAGCAACGGTTCCAAGTTACAACGGCCTTGGAAAAAGTGACTTACAACCTGTCCTTGAAGCTACAACTGTTGCACCACCCCTGCAATCCGGAATAGGGCAACTCACCACGGCCAACTCACCATAGCCAACTTTCTGCGGGACAATTCGCCACAGCCAACTCCCACCAGGACAGCTCACTGGGGGACCATTTAACAATTCAATTTAATTATTTAAAATAAATTTAAAAAATAGTTTAATTTTTGTCATTCACGTTTCATTCTGTCCCTTCTTTTGCATCTTTTTTCTATTCTGCCGTTTTTTTGATATTAGGGTAACACTTGTCCCATGGCGAGTTGCCCTGTGAAAAGTTGGCTGTAGCGAGCTGGCTGCATCGAATTGTCCTACACCTGTTTGCAGTCAGATGATTGCCATTCAGGTACTGTATTTTTCAGACTATAAGACACACCGGTGTATAAGATGCACCAAGATTTTGAAGAGGTAAGTAAGAAAAAAAAGGTTTTATCCTCCCCAGCTACTAGGAGCACTCTGCAGGCTTCAGCAGGGCTGGGGGAAGGCAAAAATGCCCCCGGTTTTGCAAAAAATGGGTGAAAAATGGACTGTTTTTTTGCAAAAACGGAAGCATTTTTGCCTTCCCCCAGCTCTGCTGAAGCCTGCAGAGTGCTTCTGGGGGTTGGGGGAAGGAAACATGCCTCCTTTTTTCACAAAGATGGGATGTGGGGGCAGGGCTTCGGTAGGCCAAAAATGGCTGCATTCGGTGTGTAAGACGCACCAACATTTCTACACTTTTAGGGGGGGGGGAAGATGCATTTATACTCTGAAAAATACAGTACATGGCAACCGGTACTGATTGCAATTCAGGGGCATTGCATATGCAATCATTGTAGCATTTTGTGGTCACATGATTGCAATTTATGATCTTCCCAGTTGGCTCCCAACAAGCTAAAGTCGACTGGGGAAGCCAGATTTGCTTAACAAACATGATTCCCTTAATGACTATGTGATTCACTTAATAACCATGGTAAGGATGGGTAAAATGAAATCCGGTTACATGATGACTTGTTTAATGACTATATTGCTTAGCAACCAAAATTTCAGCCCCAACTGTGGTCGTAAGTCTAGAACTATCTGTACTGCTTTTTGCTGAAGCAAACAATTAAGTGCAACATATTTAGTGACAATGATAAGTACAGAAGAATAAGAATAACAAAGAGCACTATGTTATAGCACTGCTAAAGTTATATTTACCCAGCCAGCTGGGTAGGAGAGCTATTTCTTGAATGGGATTCAGATTGAGCTGACATCAATAACAGCCATCTCTCCAGTTACCATCCCGTAGAGTAGTAAATGAAGACAGAGGTTTCGGTGGCTGGAGAAAACTGTTTAAAAAAAACCACACAGACAAGATAAGCATAAAATAAGGTGATGTTCCATATACAACTAAGCACACATGTATTGCTATCTTCTCCACAAGTTGCAGTTGACATACTTCTCAGATGAAATCTCGCAGAATGACCTTCTCATTTTTAGCATCATCAAAAGAAAGATTTGGTGGAATACACTGCACGCATTCTTTTAATTTAAAAGAACGTTTTAATGTCTTTTCAAACATGGGACAAATTGGTCCTCTCATTCTTTGCTCAGATCTGTCCAGATCCACAAGGGACTTCAAATGTTTTACTCGGTAGAAAAACTGAGCAGAAACAGTGCCAGGAATAGTGGCCAATCTTGCCCTGAAATGAAGCTACTAGAATTCTCGGACCTCTTTTTAAAATCCGATAACGTTGTTCTTTTGGAAATTTACCAAACTGATTACAGAGTTAACCCGTTGCTGATATTTCCCCCTCCCCCACTTCAATCTATTGGGTTATTCTTTTCATATAACTGGCCCAGCAAGATCTCTTTTTTTTAACTGTAGGTCTTTGGAAGGTAAGAATCCTTCAGAAATAGAATTTACTAGAAAACTTGTAATTATTGGGTCACCATGTCGGAGATATTACCTTACCAAAGAGAGTAAGAAAATAAACACAGACAGGTAAATTTGGTTGATCTTGACAATTAAGCAGGGTTCAGCCTATTACCACATGGATGGGAGACTTGAGAAAATTTTAAAAAAATCTGGGAGATGGTAAACCACCCATACCAGTGTTTTCAGCACTGAGTGCCGAAATGGGAGCACATGTGCACATGTGCTAGAAGCCAGAAGAGCAGTTGCCCGGTGCGCATGCGCGTGCTGGGAAGATGGTCTTCCGGTTTCCAGAGTGCACATGCACACCAGTCAGTTGGTCTTCGCGTGCGCATGCGCACCAGAAACCGGAAGACCAGGCAGCCGGTGCGCATGTGAGCGCTAGAAACTGGAAGACCATCTTCCCTTTGTGTGCATGTGCACCAAATGGCAGCTCTTCTGCTTTCCAACACTGCCGTGTGTGAAGACCAGCTGACTGTCACATCGGAAGCTGGAAGAGCAATAGGCGACGACTCGCGTGCCCGGAGAGATGACTCTGTGTGCCACTTTTGACTTGCGTGCCATAGGTTCGCCATCACGGACCGATACTGTTTTCAAGAAAAGTGTCTGGATTTGTCCACATAATCAACTAGGAAGGAAGCGTGACTGAAGATTTTGTTTCTCTCTTTTTTTTTATTGTATGTTATAGAGGTCAGGTGAAGCAAAATGGGATTTAAGGGAAGGGAGGCAGGTAACAGCCGTGGTGGTGACATGCTTAGAGTGCAGTACTGCAGGCTACTTCTGCTGATTGCCAGCTGCCTGCAATTTGGCAGATCGAATCTCACAAGGCTCAAGGTTGACTCATCCTTCCATCCTTCCGAGGTGGGTAAAATGAGGACCCAAATTGTTGGGGGTAATAGGCTGAATCTGTAAACCACATAGAGTGGGCTGGAAAGCACTGTGAAGCAGTATATAAGTGCTAGTGCTAACAGCCCTGGGCCCTGGGTTTGTGTCTGCAACAGACCAATGCAGTCAGAAGCCAAAATACATTTGTTTTTAGTAGTATATCTCCAATTGTAGAGATGAACTGAAATGGGTTTTTTTTCCCTCCTAGTGTTGACAAGATGTCGAACATAAAAGTATATTAATGGTAGTGTTCAAGTCTATTGATCATTAGTATTATTTTCTATCAGAGGAAAATTACATGTGTAACTATACTCCTTTCCCTTTCTCCTCAAGGAGAATAATTAGCTAGAGCACGGGAGAAAAGCATATATCCAACAGATTTTTTAGTTGGATGTGGCTGTCTGGCCGTGTCTGCTTCACCCTGGGAGGGGGGGAGATACTGCTGCCCACTTACTGCAAGTGTTTATCCTTGATTGCCCCTCCACTGGCATTCTGGACACTGAGGGACCAGTGGCAGGAGAGGAATGCTGGTAGAAGGACAGCTGAGGATGAATACTCACTGGGGGACCACTGCAGCAGGGAGCCTGGGGTGAAGCAGGCCGGCCAAGCAGGCTCAGCCAATTGTCCTAAACCCCCAATGAATGACTGAGGCACATGAGAATCTGCTCTTCTATTGGTCTGTTTCTTGGCAAGTCATAGATCTGCAGAGTTTAGCTGCTTATATCATATGCCTCTGCTTAGCACTTCTGGCTGAATTTCAGAGTATGAGAAACTGAGTATGGGGGCCTTGCTGAATATGCTCCAGCCAGAGGGGGGTTCCTTGGGTTGAGCACTCATCGCCAGTATCAGGACTAGCTCTACTTCCTCACCATCCTCTATGAAGGGTCAAAACATATATCTCATACATCATGGAAGCAGTTCCTACTATCTTTTTGGTTCTTTACCTGTGCCCCTTCCTTTACCTCCCAAGCCAATTCCTCTGCCAATCTAATGTATAGTCTTCTTCTTTATTCACTCAGTAAAGTCAGGAGTTAATCCTTTTCTCCAAGCAAAGATATCACAATAGCTAATGTCAAACCAGCAGCTCAGTTAAAAGAATTCATACCTTGCCAACACCAATTTATTGGCTATAAACCAAAGGCAGTCCAGAATTAATAGAGTAACAGCACAAACCAACTGAAAACAACGATTTGACCCGTTATTTATCTATGGATATCGATGTTTCTTGTTATCTACTTCTAGTTATTTCCCAACTGGTGATTCCATTAATGATTTTTGCATCTTTTGCACATAAATTTCTGATGACTTAATTCGAACATAGCATGTCACTAATAACCTCATATCCATGTCGACATTGAGACAAATCAGTTTATGTTTGTTTTGATAAGAAGCTCAGAGAAGATTAGATTCTCATAGGGAAACTCCTCTAAAAGAGATGCAGATAGACTAGTATCAGTATCAGATATCAAATCAAAGTTAGAGGAGATTTGCTGGTTTCAATAAACTCAGTACAAGCTGGTAAGCCTGAGCTGGATTAATTTATAGGCAGGTGGGAGAAAGAATTGTTTGGATGCTCCTGTAATTGCATAATGAAAAGGAGGTGTCATGATAGGTCCTTCTCATCAATACAGAAAGCTTTGGGTGGAACTGAGGATCACAGAAGATTAAAATATGTATATGCCAGAGATGAGTCTGCAGACAATGAGCTGCCAATATGAATGATGGGTACCCATTTATGTCGTGTAAATGATGATAAAAGGTAAATGTAAAGGTTCCCCTTGCACATATGTACTAGTCGTTCCCGACTCTAGGGGGCGGTGCTCATCTCTGTTTCAAAGCCAAAGAGCCAGCATTTTCCGAAGACGTCTCTGTGGTCATGTGGCCAGCATGATAAACCCCGAAGATGCACAGAACACTGTGCCACTGTGCCAAAGTGGTCTCTATTTTTCTACTTGTATTTTTCCATGCTTTCGAACTGCTAGGTTGGCAGAAGCTGGGACAAGTAACGGGAACTCACTCAGTTATGCAGCGCTAGGGATTCAAACCACTGAACTGCCGATCTTTCTGATCGTCTTAGCCACTGAGCCACTGTGTCCAAGCGTAAATGATGTTATATGTATGTTAATATGCATGGAGTTAACTAGAGTTGAAAAATTGAATTTAGAGGGGGGGGTTATGGTATTTTAGAAACACCATCTGAGAAAAAGGAGGGGAGAACTTCTTTTGGCAGGTGAACCCCTGCTTCTTTCACTTACGTTAAGAGAAAAGGTAGTTACTGCTCATCTTTAGTTTACATTTTGCTCTGATTCTGATTACCTGTACTATTATTGACACAATTTATGATTAGGGTTAGAATCCAAAGTTACAATCTACCATAATCTGGTGTCCTTCACACTCCTACCATATCCAAAGGGTGGGAATTATTCTTTAAAGTTTATAAGCCCAATTTCTCCTTCAAGAAATGTATTCTTACCTCCGAATTGGCTGTGCAATTTTGCTCCTAGGTATACTGCTTCCACCTATGGCCAGGGAAGGCCTAGGAAGACTACTACGAGTTACAATATTTGTGTTTGCAGTCTTGTTTGGCACTGGAATGCTTGTACTGGAGTGCATTTGCAAGCTATTATTGGACAACGCAAGGCCACTGCCACTACTACTTCCTTGAACTGTTGGGCTCACATAGGCCATAGCTTTGAGGGGCTGCCTGGCAGATATTGGAAAGTGTCCCACGCTGTGGACTCTGTGTTGAAGTTGCCCTGGTGAAGGAACTAGAAAGAGAAGCAGAAAACATTAACTGACAGCTATCATTGAAGAGAAATGTAAATAATTCCTGACAGTGACTTCACATATTAACACGAGGAAGTAAATTATATAAACAAATGTACCATGTAAAAATGTATTCAGATGCTCAGTTATTATGTAGTTATTTCCTGTTGTATTTGGCCCTTTTTGTATGAAATTCAGGCATGCATATCCACGGGGAAGGCAAGGGGAGCAGATGACAAAACATTTACTGTATCAAAGCCTGTTTAACTGAAGCACAAGTTGTTCTGCAAATACTTAAGGGTGAGCTTTGTGTCATAATGACACTGCACGAGTCATCTTTTGGTAACTGAGTTTCGGAAAACATTTTAAAAAACCCCCAGAGAAGAAAAATTGAAGAAAGGGTAGTTAACAACAGCATCGGATTGAAATATTTTCGTATCCAAATCATGCTGAACAACTTGAAAGTTGGAAGCAGAAAACCTCCTAACATCCTTTAAGTAATGATAAAATAAAACTAAATCTGGAATCAATTTGCATTGACTTGAAGTACTAAGTCCTACAACCAGCATTCATTGGATCATTGTCTCCTGGAAATCAAATCCTCCTGCATTTGGGAATTTTACAACTATGTTAACAATAAATGCATAGAAATAAAATAGAAAAATCCCCTTGTTGGGTATTGTTTGGGAATCCTGTTTTTAGTGACAGAAAATAAAAGTACATTTAAAATAAGAACAAAATAATCTCCATTAAACCATTTTCCTGAGTGCAAATCTTCAAAGTAAAGTTTCTCTCAATTTAAATTTAATTCTTCATGACTGCCTAGGAACAGAGAAAGAGAATCTGTAGACGAGATAACTAGTAGGGAGCTAAGAGAAGTAAGTTGTATCCCTAGAGCTAAGATCAAAGATGTGTCAGAGAGGCTTACCAAAATAATCAAGCCCACCAATTATTATCCCTTTCTCTTCTTTCATGTTGGGATGAAGGATCCAACCCAAAGCTTGGACATAATATCTAGGGACTATGAACAACTAAGCAGGAAAGGAAACAATACAGGATACAGGCAGTCTTCTCTTCCATACTGTCCACCATAGGTCAATACCAAAAGAGGGAATCAAGGATTCTAAAAGTAAACCACTGCCACATCAGCTGACTGTTATCTGCAGTTCAGCGGTTCAAATCTCACCGGCTCAGGGTTGACTCAGCCTTCCATCCTTCCGAGGTGGGTGAAATGAGGACC